GTCAGAGTATACAAGACTTGCATGAGTATACAAGACTTGAGTGAGAATACAAGCTCTTACCAGAGTTGCTCAAACAATAAATGCTTCATACAATAATCTATTCTTTTTATCATTATTGAATTAGAAAACAAATATATTATACTTGAGTAAATAATTACAGGCGAAAGTATTTACTAGAACTACTATTAAATCCTGTACCACTCTTATTTCTTCCACTCATACCCACATTGCCTCCCATAGTTCCTCCAGAAGATCCACTAGGCTGTCTGGCTGAAGAAGTGCCTCCAGAACCTGAGGGCCTCGGCCCTTCATCATTGTCGTCGTCGTCATCATGAGCACCATCGTCTGGTTGCTTGCTAAAGTCAGCTGGATGCTTAGATTCTTGTTCCCCGTCAAACTAGTGAGAAAAAGCCATGCCAGAACATTATGACAATACAGGTCGACCGAACCGGACGCGTGATGTATGGATAGGGGGACAGGGAGCGTGCCGATCAGACAGACTGTGGAGGTGATAGTAACGGGAAGTGCAAGCGGACGCGTGCAGGCGTCGTGAGGGACCAAGGAAGCCCGCGAAGGCCGTGTAGTGAAACACAATGCAGGCGAGATGTGCGGCTGTACGGCCGGGTGCGGAGGGCAGGAGCAGAAGAACGGTAGCGAGAGAGGATGGATAGATAGACCGCAGTGACCGCAATTTAGCGCGGGGGGCGATATGAGAGAGTGGTGCATTGGGGGCGATCATCGGACATACGGGGGTCGACGCGTCCATGGGCGGCATTGCATCACATCACACATTACACAGTTCGTTTGGGGGGCCACAGTAATGTCCACAAGGGAGAGCGCGAGAAGAGCGGGCAAGTGTCAGCAAGCAGTCACACAAAGTAAACAAAATAAAATGTAAAAAGAAATAGGGATAAAATAATGAGTCAATGACTGGCGTGAAGACTAGGAGAAAGGGGCCAGCTGCGGTGACCAGCGGGCGGGGCGCATGGCAAAGAAAGGAAACACAAAAGACATGTACGCACATGGATGTATCGTTGGACTATGTTGTCGACGTCGGTCGAGCAGTACTCGTGCAGCTTCACATGGTGGCCGGCCCGTTCCTCTGCAGCGGCGTCGTCATCATTGGCGTCATCGGCCATCGGCATCGGGAGTTGCCCCCGGGGCGGTCAGGGCGCGTCAGACGAAGAAGGGAATCGACATGCCGCCGTTGACATCGAGCAGGAAGATAGTGTTCCAAAAATAGAGCAGGCAGGTGTGTGAGAACAGGGACGCAAGATGCGCGACAGAACGGCCTTGAACGCACCGAAGATGATCACTGCTACGTCCACAGAACACAACATTCCCAGCTCATATGCCTTCTTGAATAGCCCGTTCTTCCGCTGCACGCCATGGGCAATTTCGACGCGCCAGCCAAGACATGCAACAGACAGACAGCGCAGCACAGCACACAGACGTGGTTACCGACAGCGGACAGCCGACAGCGAAGGAGACTATAAAAACTAATAGGCGTTAGCCTCCGTCGAAATATTATAGCGAGCGCACAGCAGCACAGCAGCGCCACTCAGTCAATGCGTCACACTAGCACTGCAGCTCCCGCACAACGCGTCGC